CCATGTTGACCAGGATGGTCTCGATCTCTTGACCTCGTGATCCACCCGCCTCGGCCTCCCAAAGTGCTGGGATTACAGGCTTGAGCCACCGCGCCCGGCCTTTGAGAAATTTTTTGATACTGAACGAAAAGGGGATGAATGATGTTAGTTTCTGCCTTCACTAGCGTTCCTTTGTTTTGTCCACCAGGGAAGATCAGTTCATGGTTCACTCCTGTGTTGGGCCTGATATTGTCTGGCTGTGTCCCCACCCACATCTCATCTTGAATTCTCAGGTGGTGTGTGAGGGACCCAATGGGAGGCAACTGAATCATGGGGGCAGGTCTTTTTTGTGCTGTTCTCATGATAGTGAAGAAATCTCACAAGATCTGATGGTTACATAAATAGGAGTTCCCATGGACAAGCTCTTTTGTTCCTGCTGCCATCCATATAGGACATAACTTGCTCCTCCTTGCCTTCTCCCAAGATTGTGGGGCCTCCCCAGCCATGTAGAACTGTGAGTCCATTAAAACCTGTTTTTCGTTCCAGTTTCAGGTATGTCTTTATCAGCAACATGAAAACAGGCTAATACAGGCTATTCTTGCATTGCTATAAAAAAACTTCTGGCCGAGCGCAGTGGCTCACGCCTGTAATCCCAGCACCTTGGGAGGTCAAGACGGGCAGATCATTTGAGGTCAGGAGTTTGAGACCAGCCTGGCCAACATAATGAAACCTTGCCTCTATTAAAAATACAAAAATTAGCCAGACGTGGTGGCTCACACCTGTAATTCCAGCTACTCAAGAGGCTGAGGCAGGAGAATTGCTTGAACCCAGGAAGGTAGAGGCTGCAATGAGCCGGGATCGTGCCACTGCCCTCCAGCCTGGGCAACAGAGTGAGACTCTATCTCAGAAAAAAAAAATACCTGAGACTGGGTAATTCATAAGAAAAGAGATGTAATTGGCTCCCAGATCTGCAGGCTATACAGGAAGTGTGGCACTGGTATCTGCTTGGTTTTTGGGAAAGTCTCAGGGAGCTTTTACTCATGGCAGAAGGTGAAGCAGGGGCAGGCATCCCACATCACAGAGTGAGCAAGAGAGTGAGTGTGGGGAGGAGGTACCACACTTCACAACAAGCAGATCTGTAAGAACTCGCTATGGAGGGGACAGCACCAAGCCATGAGGGATCCGCCCCATAACCCAAACACCCCACCAGGCCCCACCTCCAACACTGGGTATTACATTTCCATGAGATTTGGCTGGGGACAAGTATCCAAACCACATCAACTATTCTTGTCCCATAAGAACAAAATGTTGGCCGGGCGCAGTGGCTCATGCCTGTAATCCTAGCACTTTGAGAGGCTGAGGCAGGTGGATCACCTGAGGTCAGGAGTTCAAGACCAGCTTGGACAACATGGTGAAACCCCGTGTCTACTAAAAATACAAAAAATAAATACAAAAAATCAGCCGTGCTTGCAATCTCAGCTACTCAGGAGGCTGAGGCAGGAGAATTGCTTGAACCTGGGAGGCGGATGTTGCAGTGAGCCAAGATTATGCCACTGCACTCCAACCTGGGTGACAGAGCGAGACTCTGTCTAAAATTTTAAAAAAATGTTTAGACAACATCCTTGAGCTTTTGCCTGATTTTCATTGATCCTGCCAGCCCTTCCTAACACGGCATCTGTTCGCCTTTACTTACTAAATCACCACTGTATGTTTGCCCAGCTTTTAGAAACAGGTAGCCCAAGAGACAGGTACAAGAGCCACCAAAAATGATTGAAAGTGAATGATTCTCAACTGAGCGAGAGTCCTAAGGGAAGGGAAAATTTCAAGAAGGAGAATGGCTGACAATGTCCCATGCCACAGAGAGGTTAAGGA